ACTAAACTATACTGGTCAAAATAAAGATACGATGGATGGCAAAAGATATGTAAAGTCATACATTGGCTACTTTTTGTGAATTTGTAATCTTCACAATAAGTTAAATAAATATATAAATTGCATCTAGTTTTTGAATTTCAGAATAGAGCAGAAATTTGATATGAGGCATGATATTGCTTACTGGCATGTACTGATACAAAGTATTAGTAACAATATGTTTAAAACATGAAACTGCACTTGTTGATAAATTCAGTATTCTAAATATACTTTGGAAGCTAGGGAGATACCTTAGCAGTTTATGTACCCGCCTGACAAATTTAAGGACCTTGGATTCATCGCTGGTACTGTATACTGTGCAGGCTCAGGAACCACTGCTGCACTGTGCCATCCACCAAAACTGGGCATGGTGGTGCCTGCCTATAATCTCAGAACTGGGGAAGCTGAGACAGCAGGATCACTATGAGGCTGAGTTGTGCAGTGAGACACTACACCAAATAAATAAAAGCTTAAAAATAAAGAAAAAAATAAAGAAACTTACTTTGACTCTCAAATTGCTTTTGCTGGCTTGGCTAGTAAACTGAACTGCCTTGTTTTAATTTTGCTTTTTTTACGATGCCTGGGGAGAGCCATACTAAGCAATAAAATTGATTCATTCTGCTAATGCATTTTAAGATAAGAGCAGTCTCTACATAGATTATCTATCCATCTGGAGCCTTAAGCTTAATAAACCTATATTTTCACTCTTCTTTCAATTTGAGTACACTCTACTTAATTAGATAATATTTGGGAATAATATTTTTATTACTATTCCTCATAAGAAACGGAAAAAGAATAGGTTATAAGAAGGCCTTTTAATGCAGTGATTTAGGATGAATCATTGTCATAAGACTGGAAAAATAATGTGAAAAGAATTGCCCGGGAGCATATGTGCAGATGGAGGCCGTGTATGTGAGTGTGTATGCAACACTCATCATTAGATTTTCCCTAGAAGAATAACTGCTGAGAGAACCAAGGCATGAAGGAAATTTACTACCAAGGATAATAATTGCAAAAAGCGATATGAACACTTTGGCTTTGTGGTATAGCTGAAGCCAATCCCCAGTCTTATTAATTTACTTTGCCCCATGATATATCTCACAAATGAGGCACGAAAACTAAAGGGAAAAGTGTCAGAGTCTTAATGAGCAAGAGAAGCATGTACCTTGAGAATAACTTATTTAAAAGTTTTCTTCTGATAAGAAAAAGTACCCATTAATAGTAATTATAGCTTGATGTAAGTGGTAGGAAAGCTTTTAGTAAATGTGTTTCTAATTGAGAGCTTCCCATTACCTGATAAGCAAGTTGGACTCTCTGCTGAGTTTAAAGAATGATGTACAAGGCCCTGGCTGTGGGAAGTACTTGCTGCTAATAGGTTCACACAACACACATTGTACTTGAGAGCCATGCTTGGCTTGTAATACAACAAAACTGGGCCTGACTACAAGCAGAACTGAAAGATAACTTCATGCAAAGTGCTGAAGTTCTCAGACTCATCTTTGAAGCCATAAGATAAAGATATCATAATGAGCATGTGCCTCATATAATTATTAAGAGAATTATGTTGAAGAGAGGGAAGTAGAAAGGGGAAAAATGAAGTAAGAGATATCATACATAGGTACAAATTCCCCATGCTGAATGCTATCATTATGCATATGTAAAAAGTACCAATAAAATAAAGTACCAAGGGAGTGAAAAAGGAAATCATCCACCAAAAATGGAACATAAAGGACTGAGCACATGCTCAGCTCATGTTAAAATAGCCACAAATCTTAGTTAACTGTAATAAAGTTTTGTATTTTCTTAGTATCTCAGCCATTTCCTGATGTTATTGTTCTTTTTTTAGGTCTACTTTTTTTTTTTACTTTTTTCTTCTTAACTCACCCAATCTGAGTCTTATTCATTCTAATATAATGTTTGATTTTTCACTTTACTTAAATTTCTGTATAAGTTATGGAAACATTACTGTTTCTGATATTTTCTGAGCATTTGTGGAAAATTGGAGAGAGGATAATTTCTTTCACTTTTGTTGTTTTTGTTTTTGTTTTTTGGTAGTACCAGGCATCAAACTCAGGACCTTGCGCATGTCAGGCAAGCACTTATTCCACTGAGTCATCTCCCCAGCGCTTTAATGTATTGTTTCTATCTATGTATAATCTCCTTTTTTTTATTTATATTTGAAGCTCAGATACACATGGAATTGACATCAAATGTGTATGTTCTGATGTGATACACAGAATCTGTTACTTTTATGAAATGATAGTCAAGAATTCAACTTTTAAGTAATGTGTTACTAATTGCTGTGGCTAAATTGGTGTCAATTTGACTGAGTCCTGAGTCCTGATATTTGACCAAATATTCTGAGTACATTTGTGAAGTTGTTTTTAATAAAATTAAGACATCAATCAGTACAATCAGTAAGGCAGATTGCCCTCCCTAACATAAGTATCCCTTACTGGGACTGCAGAGATAGCTCAGCTGTCTAAATACCTGACTGGGAAGCACAAGAACCTGGGTTCGATCCGCAGTACAACATGCCATGCTGGTCCCAGAACCTAGGTGCTCAGAGCTAACAGGCATGGTAGCACATGCTTGTAACTGCAGTGTTGAGGAGGCTCAGACAGGAGGATCACTTTGAATAGAGCTGCCTAGTGAGACCATGTATCAATAAATAAATAAATAAATAATAAGTGATTGAAAACTAAGTGGTCCTCATGCAAGCAATGGTAGGTATGCATAGATGAAGTGAATTTTTTTAATTAAAAAATTACTTGAATTTGTATTTCTTCATTGGAGATGTGTAAATTCATCTCAGGTACCTATTTTGGGGAGTTAGGTCTTTGAATTTGGGAGGTCTTAATTTTTTCAATTCTTTTTTTGAAAAAGTAATATAAACAAAGTATATCATATAGTCATAGGATAAAACAGCATTAGAAAAGATTCAAAATTACACTAATTAATTAAAGGAATTTCATTTAGAACAAATCATTAAGGTGACAAGGAAAGCAGAAAACAAAGAAAACAGGACACACACATTGAATATTCCTCTCAAAACTTTTCATCACTATCTCAGCTTTCCTTTTTGTGTTGACCCCATATCTCTCCACAGACGGTCACTCCTGGCTCTAGATCAAACTTAGACATAGAAGAAATTCAGAGCACGCACTGACTCTGTTACAAAGTTATCCAGTAAAATGTAAAGGGAGTGTACAATTGTATGCTGTAGAAATGATTGAGGTGAGCAAAGAGTTTTTTTTTTTTTTTTTGAAAAACATAGGGTTCCACCTAACGTAGGGCTTGGGCTTAGCCTTAGATCATACTCAAACGAAATGTCAGAGAAAATGCTACAGCTAAAATCCATTTGGTTCAAAACTGTTCTCTGAAGCTCTCTTAATAGTCTTATTCTTTGTCTTCCTTGAGCTTAAACTTGAATTTTTGTAATGATACCTGTGGATTAACATTCATCTGGATGATATCCTTTTTTAAATGTATGTTAATTTTATTGAGAAAGAAGTAGCAATGAAATAGTTTCAAAACAGGTTAGTAATACAGTTACAATAATTAGTATATTGCATATTGTTGTCTTGGTAGTAGTTATTCCTAGTACAAGATGCAGACATGATATCTTGTCTAAACAGTATTAGTTCAAAATCTTCTCTCATTGGGCTAAGAGAAAGTAGTTGTATATCTATGCTATTTTGTATAAAACATACAAAATATATTTTCCACTATAAAATGGTCCTTCATTTATATTCCATTTTTTGTTTACTTTTGTCAGAGATATGTATTCCATTGTCATTCATATACTGCAGGTGAATGAATTCAATATAGTTCAATATAGTCCAGTAGTCTATAATAGTAGTGGTTATCCACAAGACTAGCAGTGTAAGAAGTTGTTGACTTGAACCTTTTACAGCTCAGCATATTAATATGGCTTTACTTCTTATATCTTATGCTTATACTTTTCTGCTGGATGGTTAAGATCAAAATAAAGCAAGACCTATATAACAAAAAATGTAACTTTTATATCTGACAAGGTCAGTCAAATCCCCTCAGGACTTACCCTAAAACCATGTATGGCAGTTTGTAGATCTTTTGTCAGTGTCAGCCATGTGGATGAGTCAAGGCCATTGCTTGATCAATTTGCACTCTGTGAAAGCCTGAAAGAATGTTTTTGCTCCATGTAACTCTCCTTAGGCACACTTAACACTGTTGATAACTTTCCTCTGTGGCTCCATATCTCCTTGATCAGGAAAGTTTGGAACCACTGAGTTACTTCTCATGCTACCTTTTAACTGAAGAACTCATAAAAATATTACTCAACAATCAAACCCAACCCAGGCTTTTCAGCCTGGTTTCCTGCCTTGGTGGAAACAATACGAACTCTATCTGAAGCCATAGGAGGGATTTATCTCAACTCATAGCTGAAGTCTTTCCCTTCCATATAATACCTTTATTGCTGAAAAGAAACACGGTACTATTGGAGATCAAGTGGACATGTTTCTATCACATTTAAAGCAATCTTTAAAAGAGTGAAATGATGGTATATTCAATGTAGATATTGAAGAGGCCATCACCAGTACCAAAAAGAAAGAGGACCAGAGTGGAAAAGAGAAAAAGGAGAAGCAATGAAATAGGATAATAAAAAAGAAAGACTAGGAAACAGGAAATCAAGGTCACTTTACCTACTAGCATAATTCCAATTCTCACTCACATGAGTATGACTCCTACAAAAGCAAAAATACAGATCCTAGGGTCAGCATACCAGTCATGGAGTCTTTATTCTGTCATATGCTCCTGATAGGTCCCTGGCCAAGACACATTAACTCTGTGTACTTAAATCCTCATGTGATTAAATGGAAATAATAACACTACTTCTGCTCTCAAATTCGAAAGTATTTAGGAGATCAAAGCAAAATATCTTATCAGCTGTAAAGTATGCAATTTAAGTTATCGATATCACTCTATAACTGCTGAGGAAGGAAGCCCAGTTGATGTAGGACATTCCTTAGTGATGATTTCACCTCCTTATTCCTGAGGCTGTAGATCAAGGGGTTGAGCATGGGGGTGACCAGGTTGTTCAGCACTTGCACAGTTGCATCCAGCAAGGGGCTTGGGGTTGGCCTTAAGTAGATGAAGACCACAGGCATGTAGAAACGCAGGATGGCAGTGAGGTGGGCACTGCAGGTGGAGAAGGCATGACGGCGGCCCTCAGCAGAGCGGATCTGCAGAATGGAGCTGACAATGCAGCAGTACGAGGTGAGGATGAGGACAAAGCAGCTGAGGGGCATGAAGCCAACACTGATGAATCCAACCATCTCCAGGGACGAGGTGTCTGCACAAGCTAGCTTCAGCATCACTGGGATATCACAAAAGTAATAGTCTACTTCATTGGGGCCACAATAGGGCAACTGGAAGGTGAGTGTGGTGAGAAAGATGGCCTGAATACAACCAAATATCGAGGTCCCTGTGGCCAAAATGGTGCATGCTCTGAGACTCATGATTACTGTGTAGCGCAGAGGGTGGCAGATGGCAACAAAGCGGTCATAGGCCATCACTGTGTACAAGAAGCACTCAGTGCAGCCCAGGAAGTGGTAGAAGAAGACCTGGGACACACATCCTGCATAGGAGATGGCTCGGCTGTTCCCTGAGAGGTAGAACAGCATCTTGGGAGAACTCACAGAAGGGAAAAATATATCACAAACAGCCAACTTGCATAAGAAGAAGTACATGGGAGTGTGAAGCTGAGTGGAGGAGACGATTGCCAGAAGTATGAGCAGGTTCCCTGTAAGTGTGAAAATGTAGAAGGACAGGAACAAGGCAAAGAGCATGGCCTCCAGGCCCTCTGTGTGCGGGATGCCCAGCAGGATAAATTCAGTCACACCTGAGAGATTCTGCATGCCCATGAGAAAGTGTGCCTTGATAAGGGACCCAAGATTCCCAAATCTGGGTACCAGTATAGTATCAAATCATTAAATTTCTTGCTGATGAGTGCTATGACAATATCTTTAACAACAGCAACCTACCTTTTATGAAGAGTAAGAGCAAGATTTATGTAAGAAATACCTATTTGTGAAGTCACAGCCTACCCAATTCTTTGAAAGAATTTTATGAAATCCTCGATAACAAGATGAAATGTTTCTTTTTTTGTTTGTTTTGTTTTGTTTTTGGCAGAACTAGGGATTGAACTCAGGCCCTTGCACTTGCCACAGAACCCCATAATCCACTGAGCCGTCTCCTCGGCCCCTGACAAAATGAAATGGTTAGAGTTCTTTTCAAAACATTGCCAGCTAGAAAAGTTTTTAACATTATTTTACTGTCTTTTGCATACCTTTAGATTTTTACCTCTTATATCATTGAGTAAGAAGCTCCCATTTTCATTACCATCTGCAAAATAACAGGGGAAAATGTATTTGAAATCAGAACAATTAATGCGAATCTGGACTTGGCACTTCTTAATTATTACAGTTGAAATTACATGCATATTTAAAATTGTGGTTTGGGAACACACATTAAAAATCTTTTGTTTTAGGCATTATACTACAGAATTTTCTCCCTTCAGACACTAGATCTTAGTGTCAGCTTCAGTATAGAAGCTTTTACACTGTACAGTCACATTCCACATCAACATTCTAATCAGAAGCTTTAACAAGGGCCACTGAAAAACACCTCCAAAGATAATGAACCAGGCAATAAAAGGCACCTTATACCACATCACAATCAAGTAAAAATGAAAACTGTAAAAAGAGAATGATTCTAGGATAGGAATGAGATGTTGACCCCTGTTTCAATTCCAGCCACATTTAAATAGTTTCTTGGAACAACTCAAATTCTGAAGACTTTCAAGCACTGCCCTTTGTTAGCATGGTGTGCCCACATTCTGGGGTTTGTATGGCATGCAGGTCTGGAGATAGAACTCAGGATCTTGTGCTTGCCAGGTAGGTGCTTATGCCTCTGAGCTATCTCCCCAGCCCAATGGGCAGAAGTTTTAATACTCACAGCATCTAGTTGTCAAGCACTCCAAAGTGTAGGGAGACTTTAAATTTGCTGCTTCTGATCAGAGTTCAGCACACTCATCCAGAGACTTTGCACTTCTTCCTTATAGATAATCCAGTCTCATAGGATTTGTGCAACCAAATCAAGACACATACATTTCCCTGGGTAGCTTTCTTGTGTACTTCAGATCTCCTTAAGCTCTGGATAGTGCTCAGTGATCACTCTGAGGGAGCAATTAGTTTGTCAACCTCATCTTCATCCAATCATTAAGTGCTAGTAATGATATCATCAGAAAAGGCTGGCCTGAAATAGTAGGTATGTTGCCAAAGATTGTTTGCGTGGCAGAGTAGGTTCCAATTCTCATAGTAAGTCACTACCAGTACTAGCACACTTTCACATTACTTGAGCTAATCAAAAATTTTTTTCAGACACAACATCTTAACATTACTCTACAAATAAAGGACATTAGAACTCAACAACATGGCTCTCCTAAAGATAAACAGTAGAAGAACCCAGGAATTCCCAAAATATGGCCCATTTATTTACGCCACCATAGATTCCCAGAACAATTCCCAGATGAAATCAGCTGTCCCTGTGAAGGCAGAGCTATTAATAGACTTATTTGAGGAATTTGAACAAGTTTCTGTACACTCATATAGCAATTACTACCTCTATTATATATTCTCTGAGCATACCATGCTATATCCTCAAAGAGTAATGGCAGAGAAGAGAGAGAAAAAGACATAAAGATTAATTCATTAGTTCATGTTCTGTTCATAGAGGTGAAGCCTCCCAGAAATTTCAATAGGTATTTCTCCGGTGATCTATCTATCCTTGACATAACTTGTGGGTTATTTTTGTATTATATTTGCATTATTCTAGTTTCAATCACAGAAAAGAGCCTAACTGATTTAATTCTTTACTTTCCAGTCTAGACATTCAGCATGCCGACAAGTCACTAGCATGTGGCAGGGACAATTGGCTATAAATGGTAAGAGGTTCTTTTTTTTTCTTTTTCTAAGCATTCTTGATATAACAAACAAGCTTTATTGTTTGTTGGCAGAACATGGGTTAGGGTGAATTGCTAGTCCCAGATTCATTTTTTATTTGCAATAGCAATAGAAATTAACTGGACTGTAAAACAAAACTATAAGAGTAGGAAGACAGCTACTCATTTGTCACTCATTGGCGACAATTTATTTATTTTTGTTTTGCTTTTCCCCATTCTGTCCTTCCATTCTTTCCTTCTTGATGAAATGAAACGCCTAGCTTCCTGAAAATTTAATGTTTTCTGTGAGATGGATATGATTCAGTTAACAAAAGAGAAAAACAATAACCATAAGACTAAAACCTATGGAACACACATTTTCTGTATTTTTGCTGAAGAGATGGGAGTGACAGCAGTATGAGGGACATGAATTCCTGGAAGGCACTAATTTCTGGGCAATCCCATTTGCTGATCCCCTCTCTGATATCTGTAGGAGTCCCTTCCTGGTTCTCATCTCAGTCCAAGAAGTTAATATTTATAATCCCAAAGATATGTTATTGGTATCCCACCAAGTCAATTCCAATCTATCACTCCCAGTACAACCCACAGCAAAAGAAAAGACACTAAAATATATTTATAATCATTGGGAAGCCAAGGGGTCCTAAATCCAGCCATGAAGATGGCTTTTTGGAACCAAGAGGCTGACCCAGGGCCTCACCCGGTTTTATTCAGTGGAGGAGCGCCTTGAGGAGAAATGACTGAGAATTGTGTGAAGTAGGTGACTACTGTGAACTGAGCTAGGTGGGTGGTGTACATTTAATTGTAATCTGCTCAGCAGAATGAGCCAAATCTGGGACTCTTCTGTAGGTTTGTAATGCATAACATATTCTTAGAGAGTGGTTACACACAATATTGCATTAAATATGTAATCATTCTTAGTTCCATTTCTCCTCTTGGCACTGTCATCTCCACCCATTCCCTTCCCTTCCTCACAAAGTGAACCTTGCTGTTTCCTATCACCTTATCTTTTGCTCTTTAAATTCTTTGTAGTTTGGCTTTCCCTTAGAAGACAAACCATACAATATTTA